AGGAAGGAAGGAAGGAAGGAAGGAAGGAAGGAAGGAAGGAAGGAAGGAAGGAAGGAAGGAAGGAAGGAAGGAAGGAGAGAGAGAAAGGAAGAAAGAAGAAAAGAAAGAAAGGAGAAGAAAAGAAAGAAAGAAAAAAGAATAGTAAACATTTAAACCAAAACAAAAAGAATACTAAACATTTAATTCCAAGACTGAGGGAATTACAAAATTACTATCAAAAGCAAATGGGCAGGGCCAGAAAGATGGCTCAGCAGGTAAAACCACCTGCTGCTTACAATCTGAATTCCATTCCTCAGACCAATATAATAGAAGGAAAGAATCAAATCTGGCGAGTCGCCCTCTGATCTCCACCCAGGCTACACACATATAGACATGTATAAATAAATGTAATAAAAAAAATTTAATGTTATAGGTCAGGCAGTGGTGGCACATGCCTTTAATCCCAGCATTCAGGAGGCAAGGCAGGCGGATCTCTGAGTTCCAGGAAAGGCGCCATAGCTATACAGAGAAACCCTTTCTCGAAAAAACAAAACAAATTTAACATTATAGAAAGCAGTAATAGTCCGTTTTTGAGGGAATATACTTTAAAATCTGTTGAAACACTTGGTTACCTTTCATTTGGAGTGGTATAGGGTGAGTTATTTCTTCACAGCCATGGTATCACCATTTACACTTAACCCTCATACTGACAATACAAATCTGAAATGACCTTGACATTAGGAAACCATGTGTGGTTTGGGGTAAATTTCACCAAAATTACTAACCTCCCCCCTCCACTACACTAAAGCTCTTAAACAAACACCTCATTCTATCCTCCAGTTACACTAAAGAACAGGCCCAAGAATGAATGGGCACCATTAAGGAAGGACATTCACTGGCGAAGGGTTAATATTCTTTTGCTTGAAAATGTTCATTTGCTCTTATGTTTGAAAGGGTGCTACACTGAAACCACATACACAAGATTTATTTACATGTCTATCTCTCCCACAGGACCTTGAGTTCCTTGAGAGTTCACACCTGGAACAATGCCTACATTCCACAGAGAAGGCATTATAAAGGACCTATGGCAGGACCCAAGAGATCTTTCAACTTTCCACTAGGACAAGCACTAGAGTTGATAATAAACACTCTCACTAAAAAAGTAAATTCAAGTCCTATTACAGCAAATAATCTGTATTTTAGCTAAAATGCTAATACAGGAAGAAGCAAAGGAAAAGAAGAAAGAAGGCTCACGGGGATTTCTTACAGAAGAGTGTCTGGGAATAATTTGTTATTTCCCTAGCTCTCCCAGAGCCCTTCTGAAAGCTGGGAGCAAAAAAGCCTGGCTCTAAGGGGAGCTGGTGTTTCTAGTCCTTGCTGCCAATCGAGGGGGAGGGTGACAGCAGTCCCTAAGGGCTTTTAGGAAAAATTGCTTCCAGGTGGAAATTTTTTATGGTACTATGCAGCCTGCAGCCTTTTTTTTTTTTTTTTTAAACCCTCCTTCACAACTACTGATGATTAAACCATGGACAATCAGACTGCAACAATGGAAACAGTCAGGCAGCTTCCAAACAGCATGGTAATATACTCCAAATTACAAAGTTAACTCTCAAAGGAGAGAAAAACAAAGTTTAGTTTTGTTTTTTAAGGGGAAAGGCAGTGTGGTGTTTATTAAAGATTTGTATCTGGAAGACTGTGAAGTGGCCAAGAACTCTCTATCATAATGATAAGCATCAATACCCAACCAGGCCCACATAACACAGACATACAAAGGGGACAGGGACAACCCTCAATGTTCTGTCACCTACCAATTTTTATTACTTTAGTCTGGCTTGGATTGAAAGCTCCATTAAGCCCTTCTATCACTGTAAGAGTATCCAGTGAACTCTCACCTCACGTCAGGAGGAAAAGCTCGATCAACTTACACCTGAACATGGTATTGAAAACTGGGTTCGGGTGTGTATATTTGCAGGGAGGGGGACCTTCAAGTATGTCTGTATCTGTGCACCTGTGTTCAAAGTGAGTGTGTAACAGCTCAAAAAATATCGGGGTGGGGGTTACATTGCTAGCCATGAAAAAAGTACAGAAAAACTAATCATATGACCATCCAGAAATTGAATCTAGGCAATCTTACTATTCCATGTCACTCAAACAGAAAAGGATACCCCTAACTCACCATTTCTAAATAATAAAATGAAGTATCTTTTTCAAGATGTCAACTGAACATCTTACATATAGTAACTCAGCTATCCTCAAATATAACTGTGGTAGTCTGAGTAAGAATAGACTCATATATTTGAATGCTCAGTCATCCAGGAGTGGCACTATTTGAAAAGAATTAAGAGGTGTGACCTTGTTGGAGGAAGTGTGTCACTAGGAGTAGGCTTTGAGGTATCAAAAGCCCATGGCAAGCCCAGAGTCTCTCTCTTCCTCTAACTGTGGATCTTGAGGTAGAATTCTCTGCTACTTCTCCAGCACCACGTCTACCTGCATGCCACCATGCTCCCTGCCATGAGAATAATGGACTAAACCTTGACATTGTAAGCAAGCCCCAATTGAATGTTTTCTTTCATAAGAGTTGCTATGTTCTGCCATATGTGCTATGTTTATGAGACGGAGAGCAGACTTTGTTGGTGTTGGGAATAAATAGGAAAAGGCTGCTTCTGGATACTGAGAAATGAAAGTCTAGGGGGAGCGACTTTCATCACGGGGTCCCAGAACATATGGTTTCAGACACTGTGTGATTCATTGGGAACAAAATAGTGTTCAGTGGATCTATACCACAGGGACTAACTTGACTTGAAGCATAATGGGACCAAGGCCATAGTTGTCTTGTGGAATCAGAAAGGCAATTTTGCATTTCTAAATGTACCTCTGTCAAAACAGGTTCACCACTGGCTTCCCAGTATGTGACAGCTGTAAATTTATGGTCAGATAAGAACCTGAATGCTCTTATCTGTACCCTATTCATTCAGTAATTTAAGTTTTAGGTTCACAGTCAAGGTGTCCTGTGACCTCATGAAGTATGATCAAGGACATTACAGTCCAAGACTTGCCAGCATCAAAATGCATTGAAGATTTATGACATTGTCTTCCCCTCTTTACATCCCATTGTTTGGCTGCTTGGTGGATTATTGGTACAGAACTGTCAGACTGAACTGAGCAATATTGACCCGCTCTCCTATGAAGATGGTTTTGGAGAAACACAGGAGATTCCATCCCAGAATACTCAGATAGGAGGTGCTGAGCACACATTGAAGATGGCCGAATAAAACGTCCTTGCCTAGAGAACTGACTGACCTGAGACCTGGTTGTTAACTGTTTAGTTGTGAGCTTTGTCTTGATTTGCTAATAGAGTAGCCAAGCCAGCTATTTTACTACCTTTCATTGAATCAGGTAGCAATAACATTGTTTTAATTACTCTGTATTTTCATTGGTCTTCATTTAAAAAAAAAAATCTTCCTGTTCTCAAAAAAAAAAAAAAGAGTTGCTATGTTCATGGTGTCTCTTCTTTGCAATAGAACACTGACTAAGACAATAACCCTCCTGGAGTAGTTATCACCAGTTTGCACATGAAGCAATCTTTCCAAGACTTCAAACACAGAAATAGTTTCCTTTATCACTACTACAAATACCACAATTTTATCAATAACAATGAAAAATAAAAGGTGAGAGGAAAGAAGATTTTTTTAAGAGTAGAAAAGAAAGCAAGATGAAAACAATAAGATATGTAAACCATACGTTCACTCAACAGCAAATATATCCAAATATTTACATTCCTAGGGGAATAGAAAGGACAGTAATAAATATCTAGAAAAATGTAACTCTCGATGCCGGGCGGTGGTGGCGCACGCCTTTAATCCCAGCACTCGGGAGGCAGAGCCAGGCGGATCTCTGTGAGTTCGAGGCCAGCCTGGACTACCAA